CAAATCACATTATATATAATCACTGGTGTGGGAATACTCACTCACCGAGTTTACTAATTCTATTAAAATATTAGATTATAACAATAAAAAATTAACAAAAGTTACCAAAATTTATGTTGAAAATGGAAACATGTTTAAAATGACGAGCAATGTGGGTGAGCTGCCTTTCCATTTATTCCATACTTTTTAACATCAATGAGCCTAAAAAATCATGGGCTTGATAAGCAATTTGTAACTTATATGAATAGTAGCGCTTTTCAGTTCGATTTGGATAACCAATCACTTTTATCCAAACAGAACTAAAAACCGAAATATTAAGAAAATATAAACAAAAAACCGAACCAAATATTCGGTTTCAGTTTCGGTCCAAATCGAGTTTTTGGTTTCGATTGGTTCTGGCCGATTAACCATATTATGCGCACCTTTACTCGATCCTAGTCCATACAATTTCATACCTTTGGGTTCTAATATTAACGACAATTATTAACAATCATATGAACGTGAATCAACTGATGTATTGATAAAACCCGACTTCATGCCTTCATGTATAATGCAAGTGTGAGCGCCCTGGCCCGGTTTAGGACGGATCGAACCTCGCCTTCGCCGGTAGAACGCCGGAGACCTGCAAATAACTCTCACACCAGGAGTTGTATCCGGTGAAGAGCCTCTGATGCTTAAGTCAGTATGTGTATGAGTATACTGGAGTTGAATAATGGAAAAAATCGTGTTAAGGAAGAAAGGTTCACCCCCTTTATAATGGAGTGAGATACCTGACCTAAGGCTGCCCGGATTAGGTGAGCTGGCTGCCCGTCCGTACTCTGACACACCGCGCGCTGTCAGAGGTGGTTGTCGCTATCAACCAATGGGTTCTCGACACGTGTCCTCCTGCACATGGAGTGAATATTCTTTTGAAATTCTGTTAGAGGCTCTTACAGGCGCCTGTAACTAGGCCGATTTATGAAGTGCTAAGTCCACGAAGTGGTCGACCTGTTGAGGTCGACTAAACTGCTCGATCATCATCATGGTCGAATGATGGATTGGTCGACTACTTGACCGGTCGACTAGTTGGCTGG